GTGCATTGCGCGGGGAGGCGGGGCGGACCCGGGGTGGCGGCCGTGGCGACTCCTCCAAGGTGACTGGAGCTGGGCCGGGGTGGCCCTGTGCCCTTCCTCCCGCGGCGCCGGTGGGTGCTGGGGGTCGGCTTCTCCTCCGTCGGTTTTCGCTTGGGGTATCAGGGTCCTGGGGTTAACGGCGATTCCTGGCCCCACCGCCTGCGGGGGTTTCCAGAGGCCGGGGTGAGCGGCCGGTGCTATTGCTGCTGGCTTTGACTGGTTTAAAACTGTTATTGTTTTCCTTTAAAAAACCAAACCAAAACCTGAAATTGCCGCTTTGTCTCAGGGGTGGTGCGAGCAAAGCCGGACGCAGTGTGCCAGGGGACGGGACGTGGCGGGGTCAAGTGTTGGCCCTTTGGGGTCAGTGGCCACTTGGGTTTTTTCCTCGGATTGCATGCTGGTTTAAGTGTTGTTTCTGGTTTAAAATTCAACTCTGAACTAAATTTTTCCTTCTTTATGCTTTTGCATTGCAGAAAGACCTAACTAATTCTGTGTTTCTGCTTTGCTTTTGTTTTGTTTTTTAGCTAAAACATTAGTGTCATCATGGTTCTGCACCAGATTCTGCGACTTTCTTCTCTTTTTCACTCTGCTGTTTCCATTCACTTGCGCAGAAACATTGGGCTTTCTGCTATAGTCTTTAATAAGACAAAAGAGCTTGATCCAGTCCAGAAGCTCTTCTTGGACAAGATTAGGGAATACAACACAAAGAGCAAGTAAGTAAAAGAAATTATTTTAAGGCTTATGGCAAAAGGCGGAGGGGGGAATGTTGATTCTGACAAATGTCAAAATATGTTAGCTCTCTAGCTTGATCTCTAGATACTTAAGGCATGCTTTTGTGTCAACAGGCAACATTCTGTTAAGTGCTGAGATTTGTGGGGAGCAGACTGAGTTCTCTGAAAAGACATTTAACTGCTTAAATTCTTGCACTGATAATCTCACCTCTGTCTGGTAGTGAGGGAGGGGAACTGAAAGAACAGTCTGCCGAGTCAAATTTCTCTTTAACAACTTCTGAGGGCCCACATAAAGTGGGGTAGAATTACTTCACGTAAATATTTTAGCTTTAAAAATGGGTGATGGTTGGTACAATTGTTTGGTTTTGTTTTGGTAGACACATAATACTTTGATGCCGTTTTCACTGGTAGACTTCTTTGGTACAGAACAATAGTTTAAGCAGAAGATATTGCAGGTTTAAAGCTAAATCTAGAGCAACTCTAGCTCTTGTGCTCTGAAAGGACGCCTGAAACCACTGACATATTGGCTGATATGTGATGATAGTTGTCCTGTTGGTGGTATATGCTGGTGCAAGAATGTATTGAGAAGGTGGTATTGGCAGCATTGAAAATGGAAAATTCTTGGTTTTTTTTTTCACTGGTTCAGGAGGAAGTTGTCGTATTATTGCATTGGCCATTCCGAAACAAATTTTGGGTTTGCTCACAAAACAACCTGAGTGAGTTTAACTCTTCTCTGAAAGAGAGTTCTTCCTTACCAGCAACACTTACAGATAGTGTCAGGAGTGAGAAGTCGTCGTCTTGCATATCGGACAGAAGACATATGTTCCCCTCCCCCCTTTTAAAAAAGCAGAACTAAAAAGTAAAGCTGGTGTCTTTCTTCTTGGGGAGTTAAGACACTCAATGAAGTTTTTTTATTCTATGGAAACATACCAATTTGTAATTTTTACCCATGTATGTGCTCTGTAAATACACTCCTCTGCCCTTCTGTGTTTTTGTTGTTGTTGTTGGTTTTTTGTTTGGTTTTTTTTGTCTGGAGAAAACAGATTTTCTTCAGTTCTGTTTCCAGAAGCTGAATAGAAATGGCCTCCAAGAGCAATTGAGAATTAATGAAACTGTGAGGCTGGTTAATTAAACATCTAAAGTTAAGTAGTTCATTCAAATGAAAAAAAATTGGGGGATTTGGACTAGATGATCTTTTGAGGTCCCTTCCAATCCCTAACATTCTGTGATTCTGTGAAATGGAATCTTAGGTTCTTGTAATGTTTACATGAACTTTTTACCAGGAATGAAGTAAGACACTTCTTAGTTCTACTGGAGGAGATGTATGTTTTCACACCAACAAACTAGCTTGTGTAAAAAAGGGAAGCATATTTTTGGTAGCTTTATCAATCATAAATGATACTTATGTTGGTACTACTGAGCACTGGTAGTCTAAAGAGCTACTATTTTAATTTTGTATTTGTATCTCAAGAAAATCCTGTTTGAATCTATATAAATGCAAGATGCCCTGTCTCTTGTTTTTTTCAAATGGTTTGCTTCTTTGGTTGGTTGTCACATTGGTTTTTAATTCATGAATGGCCATGAAAATGTAGTGTTTCCACATGAAATTTAAGAACTGAACCGTTAATCAGAAATTTTAATGTGTTTTAGGCAAGCTGGAGGGCCCGTTGATGCAGGTCCTGAATTTCAAAAAGAGATTAATGAATCCCTTGCTAGACTTCAACGGGCGTATGGTGAGGGAGATCTAACCAAGTTCCCAGAATTCAAATTTGAGGGTAAGTTAACAATCTACTGAATTTCTAATTGCAAGTAAGGATATGTTCACTGACCAGTTTTCTTAATTCCCATTTAGTTTTCATTTGGACCATTAATTTCATGTAAGATGCCCTCAGAGAATCTCCTTACTTTTGCTCAGTTCCCATCTGATTCCATCTGAATCTTTTTTTTTATTATTAGTTGCCTTTTCCAGTAGAGATGAGGGCTTGCTTATACTGATGCTTAACAAAACTTGCAGTCAGATCAGTCTATCTTAATCGCCCTTCATGAACTCTAAAGAAATAGCCCAAATATAAATAGTCCAGGGCCTATTGTTGTATGTTTTCTCATCCTCACAAATTGGTCAGCAGACTATAATTTGAAAACCAGTAGTCTATGTCATCCAAACTGCAATTTGTAAATTTTGTAAGCTTATTTGGCAAGTCAGTGATTTCAGAAAATGAACGTAGAGATTAACTTTGTTACTTATGACTACTTCATGATTAAATGATATTAAACCACCTTCTTCAGTTATTTGGATATGACTTCTCTTGAACTGCTCTAAGTTTGCATTAGCATGTTTTCATGTTACCCAGATTGATTATGACAAGAAGAATGCTTGTGATGATTGGTTTATCAAGAATGCAAAGAAACTGCACAAACTCAGTCTGCCTTCAGGCATAAAAGCAACTTTTTTTTGAATGAACAGGTTAATTTCTAAAGCTCTGTTTCTTTTGCTTGCTTATGTAAGTACAGCTCAAAGTCTTCATTGCACACAAGCAGTTTTAGCTAAAGTCAGGTTTTGTGGAGGTAAGCTGTCTTGCCCATAAGCTGTAAGCAGCTGGCAGCTGGGATTCAGCAGTCTTTTGAGCGTGGCAGTGAATTTGGTTTACGTTGCAATGTTTTGGTAGCTGGGGGCTGCATGGGTGGCCTCTATCAGGATTGGCCAGGTGCTGTCCTTGCATCAGACAGAGCCAGCTCCAAAATGGACCCATTGCAAGACACAGCTGGGCCACTCAGCAATGCTGGTGGTGCCTGTGACAACGTTTGAAAAAGGGTGAACAACGCTCTGTCTCTATTCTCAGCCCTCCTGGGGAGGGAGGGAAAGACCAAGAGAGAGTGAGGCTTCTTGGACACCTGCAACCAGCCAAGGTCAAGCTACCATAGTCTGTGACTTGAAATTCTAATTTAGACTAGGAAAACACCTAAAAATGTTTTGGTTTTTGGTGGTATTTCAGTTGAATTAAGGAAGAATTTGGTGTCAGATTGTTACTGGCACAAATAAAACAGCATCTGTAAAGTAGGATCTATGGTGTTTCTTTCACCCCCCCCCAGTTCTTGGGATATGGTTTCTTTATATTCAATTTTATTTTTATGTAATATACAAAACAAAACGTATTAAAGTTTAGGATTTTTTTTCATAATGAAACGAAATCTGTGACAATAGGAACAAAAGTAAGGGGAGGAGACCGTGTTGTTGTACCACTTGACTATCCTTAATCTAATTTCTACAAGTTTTCAAAACTAAGTGGCTAGATGGGTAGAAACTTAATTTTTTGTCTTAGTGAAGACTACTGTAAGGAGAGCCTTACCTCTCAGGCTCTTTGTAGCAAGAACAGGCATTAATAGTATACTTGTCAAATGCCCTAACCCTTCTGAATTTGTACCTTTGACATCAAGAACTCCTTTCTCAGTGTTTGTATGTGGAGAATACCTCTTGCTGAGTGGAGTTGAAATTGTGCACTCCATTCTCTTAATTAGCTGTAACACACTAATGAAGAAGAGCTTGGTTACTTGTTCTTATATCAGAGCTATGCTGGAAATAGTGGTATTGTCTTGTCCAGTAACATTCTGGTCAACTGCTTCAGTTTCTTTGCTGCCTTCTTCCCTACCCCAAGTGTTGCTGAAAGCTGTTTTGGCAGAATGTTACTAAGGTGCATGTCTGTCTTAAACCTTACGCTTAACTACTTCAAGGTAGAAAAGACCTGTCTCCAGCATAGCTTATTCTTTAATGCTGCCCACATCCAATCATACCCTGATACCAACAAAGTAGACTGCAGTGTACAAGAGCTTGCTTTAGCTTGTCAACTTAATGTTTTGTTTTCTTTGAATAACAGATGAATGGTGGTGGTCAAGGCTGGAATAAAAAAAACAACTAATATGACTTCTTTCTCTCTCCCCCTTCCTCCTTTAGAGCCCAACTTTGAGGAGACTCCAAAGTGATCTCTGCATGTCGTATGCCAAACAGGAGTGTCCATCAATGGAGTTACTGAATGTGGCACCAGTTGTAAATTAAATAATACAGGATAACTGTATAATAAACTAGTATAAATAAATTGTTTGATTTCAGAAATCTGAATAAGCTCTTAACTGTATGGTGAGTGTAGTTTGCTATGATCATCAACTCTTTAAGTTACTGAGGCATCTGAGTAGTATTTCTCAGTGTTACCTACAGAACTCCTTTACCAAGCTGCATTTTAGTGCTGAAACATAACACCAATAATGACACCAAGAAGGAACTGCTTGTTTTTCTGCATTTGTCATATCCAGAGAACTCCTGCAGGAAAAAAACATTGTGAACCCTAAGCATGGAGCAAAGCCATACACTGGTAATAGACCTGCACAGACAAAAAGCATAGGCACAAATATACTAATTTCACACTGCATCAATGAACACAAGTGATCAAGTGTTACTCTTAAGGAGCAACTGAAATCTGTTAATGAGTTTGAGAGATTTAAGTTTTGGTAACTGAACTGTTGACACCAACACTTTAGGTTCCAAGGAACTATTTATTTGTAACACTTCAACAGTTAGGATCCAGCTACTACAGCTTGAGTTGTACTGCCATGATTTTTGTTCAGAATACAAGTTAAGTTATGTGTGGTGGCTACAGAGAGAACAAAATACTTGCTTGTGGAAGAGAAGCTGTAGGCATTTTATATTAGACAATAAAATACTGCTTGAGCCTCAATTACAGGAAGCTTTATTCTGTCAGAATAGTGGGTTTAAGTCTGCATAACTACTTATGCACTTACAGATGGCTTTGGGAGAGCTAACACAATGTCAAGGTACTAGTGAGTCAGAATTACAGGTAAGTGAGCCCATGATAATGGTGGAGACTTTAGTTGAAGTAGTGGTAGCAAGGTTATCTATGAAAGTTATTGGAATAGGCTGTTCAAAGCTGTAAAAGTAAATCCTGTATTGCTGCATGTATACATAAAGAAAATGAGAAGTCTTTACACAAATTAACTTGTATATTCAATTTAATTCTATCTTTAGCTTTTTTGGTGGTTTTGGTGGTTTTGTTTGTTGTTTTTTTTTTTTTAAAGCAATCACTTAAGTTGGCCAGATCTAAACATAGCAGCATCATGGAATCATAGAATGGTTTCGGTTGGAAGGGACTTTAAAGATCATCCAGTCCAACCCCTCTGCCATGGGCAGGGACACTTCCCACTATACCAAGTTGCTCAGAGCCCCATCCAACCTGGCCTTGAACACTTCCAGGGAGGGCACATCTACAACTTCTTGGCCACCTGTTCCAGTGCCTCACCACCCTCACAGTAAAGAATTTATTCCTAATATCTAGTCTAAATCTACCCTCTGTTTAAAACTGCTACCTCTTGTCCTGTCATTACATTCCCTGATAGAGTCCCAACATACTTCCTGTAGGCCCCCTTTAAAGTACTGGAAAGCTGCTGTAAGGTCTCCCTGAAGCCTTCTTTCTTCCAGGCTGAACAATCCTAAATTTCTCAGCTTGGCCTCATAAGGGAGGTGCTTCAGCCCTCTGATTATCTTCATGACCATCGTCTGGACCCATTCCAACAGTTCCATGTCCTTCTTGTGTTGGGGGCCCCAGAGCAGGATGCAGTCTCACCAGAGTGGAGTAGAGGGGGAGAACCACTTCCCTTGATATACTGGCCATGCTTCTTTTGATGCAGCCCATGATACGGTTGGCTTTCTGGACTGTAAGTGCACATTCCTGGCTCACATTGAACTTCTCATCAACCAAGACCCCCAGGTCCTTCTCCTCAGGTCTGTTCTCAATCCACTCTCCACCCAGTTTGTATTTGTGCTTAGGAACACTGGCAATTTTTATTTTCAGCATGCAGTATGTGGAGACAATATTTACAAAGTAGAGGTCAAAAGATCCCTTTGATATTTTTGTATAAGAAGTAGTCATTTGATGTCCCTCACAGAGGCTGAAATCTTCTAAATAACAAAGGACTTCGTATGCTTGAAATCCTAAATGAAGTAAACAAAGTTATGTAAGTAATAGTTCAAAAGATTTTAACCAAATTAACATTTAGTGTACATTTCAGAAGAAAGTAAGGCAGCGAGATTGACAAGAAGCATGCCTGAAGCCCTGTTAGTTGATGTTTGCTCTTTTCTGGAAAGGGAGGTCTACAGAATGCACTGCTACCCTATTAAAAAACCCCCAAGTATGAAACAGCTCTGTTGAGCATCTGATTTGTAAGTGCATTAATATTGATAAACAGATACTACAGCTCTTCAAAGTTCACTCCTTCTCACTCAGAGCAACCAGGTAGTTGGCCTCAGTAAGTTTCTTATATACATGGTAGGTGAAGGAGTAAGTTCATGCTATTCAGTACTTTGTTTTGATTAAAGAAATGGGTGATACTCAGTTGGCTTGTAAGGCTACTAATGTAGCCTTAAACTATAGCTAATGAAATCACATTGCTCCTAGTTGAAGCTTTAGTAGAAGCTCCACTCTTTTTGCACCAACCTGAAAAGCTGGAGCAATGTACACACAGTCAAAGCCCTTGAGCCCTCTCAGTGAGGAAAGGGGGGGAAAAGTAGTAAGTTTAGCTTCCATATTTAGTCAAGCCTTTTGACCCACATTAATCTTAGAGGAATTAAGGCCCAATCTTTATGTACATGCAAGGAAGAGTGGAAGTCTTCTTCACATGAAGTGGCATCATTAAGTGGACACTATGGTGATATTACCGAATGGCATAAGGGTGTTATCTCTAGTTCAGCCAGTAGAGGGAAAATAATCATGAAAATGGGAAATAAAAAGAAGGAAAGCAGCTAATAGAATACGGAGATGCAGGAAGAAGTAGGTAAAAGACAACCAGGCAAAAAAAATCTGTTTAGTGTGGTAAAGAAAAAGATGCAAAGTGTGGAGCAAGGTGCTGTAGCTGTATGGTACTTGAGACAGTGATGGGAAGCTGTAAGTGCAGCGATAAGGAGTCTTCAGGTACTGGTAGCATGAAAGGTTTGGCGGGTATGTAGGGGTGTGCATATGTGTGCAAAAATATCACAAGTTTCAGAAATTCTGATGGTATCTAAAACTTTTTAAACACACTACTGAATTCAAAATACTTGCATTTTCACTTGTATATTGATAGTTGTTCTTTCTGTTAACAGAACAGGAAAGGAACATAGGTTAAATAGTGACTTTTCTGGTGTTAGTTTTAAACCTTTGACAACCTTATTTATGAATGCATTTTCCAGATTTACAGCAATTCTTAGGGTTTTTTCCCCTCTTAGAAAAAAGTTACAATAACAATTCATTGAATGCTTTTTGACATCTGTCATTATCTCATGAACCACTGTCAAATTACCTTCCCTGGCTTGTCTTTTCAAGTCTTCCAGTTAACACTTTTTGCCTAGTTCATGGCCAGTATAAATCACATAGTATTTTTAAAGTAATATTTGTATTTCTCTTTACCACATTGCTCTTTTTAACCTGCTGTTACCTGGAAGTGCTGAGATAAAGATTTAAAATAGGGGGGGAAAAAAAAAAAAGGCCTTGTCTGGGAGCACTAAAATAGCTTGAGGAATTCTGACTTGCTACTAAGAAATTTAAGTGCATGAAATAAGTCTATATGAAAGGAGTAGACCAGACACCCTCAGAACATCTCCACCAGTCATATTTTTACAAAATATTTCCTGAAATAGTCTGTAGATATGGGAACAGTTCAATTTGATTCTGATCATCTTTTGTCTAGTTTGAAGAGATGAGACAAATGCATGCCTGTAGCTGAGTTAGGTGTATGAACCATAACTATGTAAGACAACACATCTCTGTACATTTAGCACAGTAATAATGCTTAATTAATTTTCTGACCAGCACACTGGTTCTAATAAGTGGACCAGCTGTTGTGTAAGATCAGGTTTATTTCAGTGTCCAGAAAAGCCACTGTACAAGAATCATGTGAGAAAGGCCTTAATCATCACAGTTACTAAATCATCAGAAATCTAAATAAAGTTTGCAGTGATTTACGTACTACTTAAATCAAGATACTTACTGGGAAGAGCTTTCCTCTGAAAAAGAGAAATTGAAAAAAAGGAATTAGGCACAGGAACAGTTTGCTTAGCTAATTTAAATTTCTTTGAAATAGTTATTCATAGCTTATTCAGCTCTTCAGTTTCTAGAAGGAGTTTCTGAACTAAATGTCTCTTTTTGGTGTAATGAGTTTAAACAGACAAAAAGTAGGTTGCTTTCAAAGGTAAGTGAACTTCCAAGTGTGAGCATGAACTCTTAAGAGCAGCTCCGTTAGCCTGTTATTTTCAGGTACTGGACCTTCTCAGACCCCCACATTTGGCATCCCTTCTTGCTGTGCCGGACCAATGTGAAGGCTGCAGAGGGGCCTTGCTTGCGCTCCAGCTTTTTGCAGCAACCCTTTAAGTTGAGCTTTCTCCGCGTGCACTTTCGCCATGACCCAGGAGAGGGAGCCAGTGATTTGGTTTCCCCTTCATCAGCCGCCGCTCAGACCTTTCCCATTGCAAGTGAACTTGCACGGTTTGGTTTGAAGTTGCCTTTCTTTGCCATCCCCTCTCCAAACTAGAGCGGAGCGGCTCTAGGAACCGGGGTTCGGCCCGTGGCTCTCCCTAGACTGCTGCTCGGTAGCCTTGTGCAACTGCACAAACATCTCCATCTCAGTCTTAAAATACCTTTCGCAGAAGAAGTTGGCAGAATAATAATGTCTGCACAAAAGAGTTCCTGTTGTAATGTTCTTTAGATTTAGCACCATGGAGCTAGATAGAGCCTTTGTGAAAAGGAGAACATGTTACAGTCGGCAGAACTGCAGACTTTTTTTGACACAAGTGAGGAGTGATTTTATTTTACTTACTAGTAAAGTAGCCCTTTTTTTGGGCATAGAATACTCCAAGGCCACACAACACCATGACCAGAGCCACAAATACTACAGCAATGATGATACCGCTTACATTAAGGTCATCTGCAATGATAAAACATAAGTCCAATGTTGTAAGCTGTAAAAATTTCCATTGCCTGGATTTTTTTTCCCCTCATCACCATAGGCACCTTTTGTATCTACAGGTCTTCTTTGGCACAAGTACGTAAGTTAATTAGTAACACTTAGAGTAGATCAACACTCCAAAAGCACTACTGCATCCCAGCCATGTTAACCAGAGTGCTTGATACACTTTAACTCCTTAGTTCAGGTCAAAAGTAAAGAAAGAGCAAGAGGAGTCAAGGGATACATACTCCTTATCATACCTATCCCTGAAAAGTCCTATGTCTCCAAGGGAAAATATCTTGAGTCTTTAAAAGTCTTAAAATGAGTGTTTACTTTGCCTGAAATAACTGAAACAGCTGATGGCAATGTCAGGTCCCAGCCCTGAAGAACTATTCAGGCAAGTTATCTAAAATTCAGTGTTTTTTATTTTTAAACAACAAGGCTTTTAAAATTCAACACAATAAAGGCCAACAAATATTTTAGCCCAGATGTCTAAATTTAAACTCTACATTGGGCTACCAAAACACCCAGCCATTTTTATTTTGAAGCTGATGACCCATGCCCATTTCCTGATACAATCACCAAGAGCTTCAGACAATCATCCATTTAAGGAAAAAAAAAAAATGCAGAAACATTTTCATAGGTTTTGTTATATGTCAACTTACTGACTTTAAGTATACATTAATACATGTTTGGGAATTTTACCTCAAACCTGTAAGTTTTTGTGCATTTTGCAGCAATTCAGGACTCAGGTGAGTATTTCCACAACAGATGAGTTCTGTCTTAGTAGCTTGTGGAACACTTGCTCATAATCAACCAGAATTGCATTAAAAGGCATGATACAGTGATTTTTAGCTACAGTCTAAAAAAGTATGAGGCAACTGCTTTGTGGAATACTTGGACATGAACTTCTGCTTAGTATTTGTTAGAATTTGTTACCATCTGCTTTCCTATCACATCTGCAAGAGCTAGTTTTGTATTTTGCAAACACATTCATGCATTTTGAGTTATTATAAACTCTGCCCATCCAGCTTTTGCTTAATTCTTTATTAGTTAACCAATTTTATGCTTCACCTATGCTGTGCAAGTAGAAAAGAAACACGCAGCA